GAATGTGTATTATGGGGCAAGCTGTGTTAGTACCTAAGTAAACTCAAAACATTCTTAGAGTGACTTACCTTTTCTACAGAAAAGGCCCTTTATAAAATGAGGCGTTCACTAAAGGGTCCCAGCAGAGATGGAAAAAAAAGGAGCAACTGTCCCAACTTGAATCTACTAATGCTAAAAGTGAATTGGGCAGATGAGAGATAGTGGGAACATTCAGGATTCTTAGCAAGGAGCCTGGACTCCTCTGCCTGACAGCTACGCTCTTCCTCATCCTGGAGGTCCCGCCCTCTGTCCCTTACCCATCCACTGACATCCTGCTTCCCAGGGGCACCTAGGGCCTGTTCATTGGCACACTGAAGGTTATTTTCTGCCTTCATGCCCCCTAACTCCTTTTCAGTATGTGACTTTCTGGGGTGCCTTATTCCAAGGTGTCTTCTCCCGGAGAAATTTGCTCTTCCTCCTTCTCAGGTGATACTCATCTCCTGATTTCCTCTCCTCCTCCTGACTACTCCTCTGGCCCTTTATGGTCTCCTCTTACCACTCCTGGAGAGCCTCAGCCCTCTTCCTTCCTGGTTCCTCCTTCAGTGATCTTGCTTACTCTTAGGGCTATGAGGCAGTTTTTCCAAACCTGCACCTGAAGGTCTGGTCTCCCTCTCTCTCTCTCTCTGTCTCTCCCACCCCCACACTCCCTCCCATCCCCTTCAGCTCTACTCCCACCTTTCCGCCTCCCCGACCCTGAGCTTCTCCTGCCTGCTGAACATTTTCCCCAGATGAACCAAACTCATTAGATAATTCTGTAACATCTGCTTTCTGGTTTCACTATTTTCTTTATTTATTCAAGGATTTAGAACATTTTTTTTCTTTTTTACAAATACAATAAATATTCATTACAGGAGTTATAGAAAAGAAAAAGCTACCAAGAAAAAAAATTATGTAAATCTCACTATCTAAAGATAACTACTATTAATATTTTGGCATCTCTTTCTTTTTAATCTTTCCAATCTTTCTTCTAAGTATATCTCCCTACAAAATGTTACCTGGGGTCATGCTATACCCATTATTTCACAATCTCCTTTTTGCACTTAATAACATTGCCAACATTTTCCCCATGTCATTATTCACTCTAACACTAGCTGTAAATTGTTGCACAGTAGTACATCCTATGGGTTCATTTAAATAATTTGCGATTTATGAATATTAAATTAATTTTTTCTGTTATATAAATAACATATGACAACAATCTTTATTGCTTAGTCTTTGTGCATGTCCTAATTATTTCCTTAGAAGTTAAATTGCTGGTTCAAAAGTACTTCCCTCTTTAAGACTTTGGGTACAAATTGTCATCTTGCTCTCCAAAATGTTTGGATCTATACTCCTACCAGCATTGTTAAGAAAAACTACTACTCTAACCCCCATCTTACCTTTTTTTTCAATATTTAAAATTTGAAGATGAAATATGAGATCTATTTATAAGTTGATTCCTAACAAAGTAGCTAGTAAGCTTTTGAAAACTTTTAAATGTTTCTTGGTGCCTTGTAATGTTCTTTTTTAAAGATGTGCTCAGGACCCTGAATTGATTCACTTGCTTAATAGCTGGCTGAACTTAGGAGAATGATCTCACTTTCTCAATGCCAGTGTTTGCTTTGGTAACCAAAGGAATAAATGAATATCGACCTCCGAGAGTTGTTGTGAGGATGAATTGAGACAATGCCTGCCACATGGTGGGCATGCAATAAATGGTACATGTTTTTCCCCTATTTCCCTAGTGGATTGTCTGTTTCCAATTTGTAATAATCCCTGTTTCTTTAATGGCAACACCGCTCCAAATCACAAGGATGATGATGATGATGATGATGATGATGATGATGATAGCTACCATTTATTATATACTTACTAGGAGCCACATATGGGGATATTTGCATTGTATATAATATCTCATTAAGTCCTCAGGAATATCTGATTTCTATTTCTTCACCAACCTTTATATCCAAATTGTTGCCAAGTTCCATTAGTTCCCATATTTGTCCAAACTGTCCCTTCCTCCCCCAGTGCAATGTAAACATTACCACTCCTGCCCAGGACTAATGAGATATCCTCAAAATTGGACTCTACAATTCCAGACTGTTTTCTGTCCTGCAGTATCATTTTCACGGATACAAATGCCAGAAAACTTATCACTTTGCAATTTAAGCAAAAAGGCAGAAGCCAGAATAATGGCTATAAAGCTCAAAATCTTTTAATGGCTCCCAGTGGCCTTCTGGCCAGCACTCAAAGCCCTCTACACTCTGTTTCTGACCTATCTCTTTGGCCATGGCTCCCCTACTTCTATTCCTTCACTTCTCTGCAACCCCAGCCTTCCACACACACTCACATACCACCCAAACACATAGCCCCAAGCTCTCATTACAGGACTTTTTCACCCACAAATCTCGACTGAGCCCCTGCTATGTTCCACATACTGTTGTCCAGGACCCCCTCCTTCTCCAGGCACATCCTATTTCTCTCTGCCATTAAATGATGAGCCCAGGCTAGCCAGGAACTGTTTTCCTCCACAATGATTAGTTCAGCCCCTTTCATATTAGCATGTAATTAATAATTATTTGTGGGCTTGAAAATTATGTCAGCACCTCTGTGCAGAAATTAAAGTCCAGGGGCTGAGGTGAGTTGAAAGGATTTAACACCACAGGGTTGTGCAAGTAGGGGGTATGTTGACAACAGAGTGGCTTCTCACAGAAGTTTCTATAACCAAGATAAGTAAGAAAGGGAATGAGAGACTGAAAAAGGAGGCATAAGGATGATGAAATGCTAACATAGTAATCCAAGAAAATTACTCTGTGTTTCTAAGTCATCTGTCTTGTAGGTAGATCCATTCCCCTAAAGAAGAAAGCAAGCGACTGACTTGAATCTTAGAACTCCTCACCACTGCTTACTGAAAAGAAATGACATGCCTGAGCTGTTCAGCGACTGATGGTAAAGTTACCAAACATCTAGATTTCCTGATCTATTTGTTCTTTCTCTCACCCTGTCTTTTCAGGTTGAGAGAAAAGACTTTGTTGTTCAGAGGCCTTGCCCAAAATAGCATGCAGTTACTCTTTCGGGAAACTCAGGCTTAACTAAAAGCAGTTGCTCTTTTCTGGTATCTTTTGTTGTATTTCATTCTTACACCCCCGTTCCCCTTCACTAGTTCCTGTCTCTCCTACTCACCTTTGGTGATTATCCATTCTTCATTGTACAGTTTACAATGAGTCAGTTTCAACCGAGTATTGTGTAGTACTTGTCACCTGTTTCTTCCTTTCCATGTCATCAAGCCATATTCTTTTGGCAAGTATTTACTGAGTATCTACTACATGTCAGGTCTTGTGTTAGCAGCTGGTCCTCATCATTTTGTTTTTTAAAAGTTTTCTTTATTTTGAGAGAAAGAGACACAGAGAGTGCGAGACAGAGAATCCCAAGCAGGCTCCAAGCTGTTAGCACAGAGCCCAAGGTGGGGGTTGATCCCATGAACCATGAGATCATGACCTGAGCCAAAATAAGAGTCAGAAGCTTAACTGACTGAGCCACCCAGGTGCCCCTTATCATTTCATTTTTTACTATAACAATAGCTTCCAAATAGATCTCCCTGTCTTATGTTTCTTCCTGAATCCATCCTGCTCCCAAAACAATCTTTGTGAAGCTCTGCTCTGTCAACAGAATTCTCCACCCATTTGCTTGAAGATTAAGTGCCTACTTATCAGCCCTCTGGATGCCTTTTAGAAATCTTTTTCTCTGCACCCAATCTGCTTTCTAGTAAATATGTTCTATTCATTTGCCCTCCACCCCCAGCATACCATGTACATTTCCATCTTTGTTTTATAGCTCTTTGAATTTCCAAATGCTACTCCATGTGGAATGGAAGTAATAAAATGGGGGGGGGGAGAAACTCTATCCCTGGGGTGGCAGAGGATGCCACCCTAATAGGTTCTAGTCAAGGAGAAGAAGCAACCTAAGACTCATCCCTACGAGGAATCTGAATGTCCCAGAGTTAGGGATAAGAAGCAACAATAACCATGTCTATCTAAAGAGGTCCAATGAGCTAAGGAACTTCCAGCCCTTCATCCAAAGTTTGATTGGGAGATGAGTTTCTTTAGGCAAACTTGCTAAATCCTGGGATGAGAAATCCAATCAACTTACTCTTTCATTCACTGAGATACTCAACAAAAATAGGTATTTTTGTTCCAACACCTATATGCTTGGCTTTGGGGTGAGTGCTTTGGAAACAACAGTGAATAAGGTAAACAGGTTCCTGCCCTCATGGAGGTTTCAGTAGAAAGGAAAGACATTAAACACATCAACAAATGGTAAATAAAATAACAAAAATGTGGGGTTAGTGTTAATAAGAAGAGAAATAAAGTATGATGATGCGAAAGGGTGGGATATGCTATTGGAGATAGGAGGGGCTATCAGTCAAAGAAGGTCTCTCTGAAGAAGAGACATTTAAGCTGAGATCCAAAACATGAGAAGAAGCCAAACACTCAAAATGACATGTCAGACTCTTGAACAGCAAAGGTACGGGCTCAACATACATGTGTGGTGCATGCGCACGTACACACACACACACACACACATACACACACACACACACACTTGCTGTGACTAATGTGGGCCAATAACCTCACTGGCTTGGGTCTCTATGTAGTTCATTCATCCATTGGGGATGCAGCAGCCAGCTCCTTCTATTATTATAACCAGAACAGCTTCTCTTTTGATTATACAAAAGATAATAAACCTTTTGGTATAAGGGTCCCTCAGATGACCGGGATCTAAATCCCAGCTACATAATTTTTCTACTTTGCTCTGCTAGCTGGGCTATTTATTTCCAACTCTAATTCACATAATATTTCTAGAACCCAATCCAGCACTCTAGTGATCCTCATTACCCTGTATATTGAAAAAAAAACTCCTTGTTACATTTTAAAGTTGGTATATACCAGTTCTTAAGAAAATCTAGAAGTTGCTTTCCATACCTCGTTGATTAACTGGATCTTTAGCTACGTAGGCAACATAGTCTGTAGTATCCTATAAAAAAGGGAAAACGATTGCATTTAAAATGAATGGATTGTACTGTTGAAAGATAAGAGTACATTTAGGACATGATACTGAGGTACGGACTTAAATACAAATGTTTCTATTTAAAGAGAAAAGGAAAGCACCCTAAAAGGGAACATAAATATACACTGGGTAGTTTAGCAATTGTGGAGTCCTGATTCTCTGTCCCTTGGAGAGAGAAGTTGAAAATTAAAAATTTAGAGGCAGAGTTAGTGATACTTACTCACTAAGAATAAAAAGGAATCCAGATAGGGAATATATTGGTACAGATATTCTTAAAAAATGGTAAGGGACCATGACTCTCTCCTGTTTTGAAAGTTGAAATACCAGGGGTTATGCAGTCACAAAGGAGTCATAAACTGGGAGGCAGCACCATGATTTCCCAGTTGTCCAGACAGACACCATGTATGTCAGAAAATAAGTCAATTAAAGAGACACATTGGTTTTTGTGGTTGTTAGCTCACTCGAGTGCAGTGCAAGTTAAGAAATAAAGCAAAAATACAAAGCATTTATCTGATCAATATATAGAAAGGAAAAATCATGTTTGAAAACGAGAACCCATGAAAACCCTAAGGATTTCAAAAAGAGGTGTTGCTGACGTTGTAAAAACAAGCAAAAAGCCACTTGGTAATTCTGACTTTTATTGAAAACAGTAAACTGATGAATGATAAGATCTTAATAATTAAAGATGCTTTTTGTTATCTCGGTTCTCAGGGAAAAAAATACACACAATGCCATTTGCAGATTAGAAGTATGACTCTCCAGAGGGAAGATGCAATCAACTGGCAGGAAATAAAAGCCCGTTTGTAATACCCTCAAGGACAATCACTTAATAACCCACAGTGAAACACACAGGAAGCAGATCTCAGGGTCAGCGTAACTTGTCTTCAGTTATTTTAAAAAATAACAAACACCTAAATAAATTTATCTTCTGCTAAAAGATAAAAGGCTTGAGATATCTTGTAAATAAATAAGGTCATATCTGTGAGCTTTGTTTTATATTAATTTAGAGGCAAAGCCACAGTTGCTGGGGACTTGGTTGCTATTTTTAAAACTGAAGGGATGGTAATGATGCCAGCAACACGGGTTGGCGCATTCGATGGTGGGAAAGAGGTTGTGGGACTTCATCCTCAAAACCGTCTCCAACAGTCTTACAGTTCTAAAATCAGTAACTGTAAATATCTGGGAGAATTTTAAGAATGTTAAAAGTAACGCACAAATAGTAAAAAAATATATACAAAAATATATTTGTGACATACTTGTAATGCATTTTTGAAAAAGAGAAAGTATTTCTAGATACAGAAGCATTACGAACGACTGTCTTAAGGGCTGACGGGAGGAAGACAAGTAAATTGTCTTTGAGAAGAGAGTAAAGGTGAGGGTGAGCAAAGGTCAAGAGGGAAGGAAGGATAGCTAATCTTTAACTGTTTTCATTTTTTGAAATGTTTATTTATTTTTGAGAGACAAAGAGACAGAGCACCAGCAGGGGAGGGGCAGAGAGAGAGGGAGACACAGAAGCTGAAGCAGGCTCCAGGATCTGAGCTGTCAGCAAAGAGCCCAATGCAGGTCTTGAACCCATGAACCATGACATAATGACCTGAGCTGAAAATCAGATGCTTAACCGACTGAGCCACCCAGGCACTCCAAGAACAGCTAATCTTTTTTTAAACTCTGGAGGAAATCTGGTGGAAAGAAGGGTACTACTTTGGGCCACGGAGACTTTTAGCTTCTTGCACCCAGTTAGCTGAGAAGTTGTAAATTTCTAACAGACAAAGCTATAAGCATGTGCTAGCAATAGTGGTGATAGCTATCCCCTATCACGCGGTGCCAGGCATGGTACTAGCAGGTTATACACATCAATTCGCTGAATTCTCACAACACTGTGAGGCAAGGGTGATCATTCCCCATTTTATAGATGAGAACCCTGAAGCTAAGAGAGACTAAATAAGTCAAGTCTCCCTGACTCCAAAGCCTGGCAGTTCATTTGGGGGACCTTGAATGCCAATGCTTATGGTTGCCCCAGTTTTTTATTTTAAATAGAATTGCAGGTTTTCTTTCCAGCTGCAGAGAGCACAGGGGCCCCACTCAAATCAGTAGGTACAAACTTCCCCACAGCGGCTAGGAATTCTTTACCGTTTGTTTCTGGACAGTACTTTGGTGGGTTGAAAGTACTAAAGAACTAAAGGCACATGAAGACAATCTATTAGGACTGGGACAACTAGGATAGACGTCATGCAGGGCATGCCTAGGGTAAACGAGGATCTGAGTGCCAATGTGAACATGACAACAACTCTTGAAACTTGAAAGGGAAATTTAGAGCAAATATCTGTAAATATTTTTAACACTTCACTTATACAACTCATTACTTTAAATAACTTAAGGAAAGTATTTGAGCTCCTTTGTGGATGACTGAGCTATAATGGGTTAGGAATAAAAGAGACAATGCTGGCCTCTTCAGGCTGGATTCAGTCAGCCCTCTCTGTACCAAACAAGTCCCTGGTTGTCACCGTTGAGGCAAAATTACAAGGCTTGGTGGATGGGAGTTCAGATTCAGTACCAGGTTCACACTGCAGCTAAGTGCTAGGCTTTTTGCATACCCCCTGTTTGCTAACGAATCCATAATTAGCCATCCATGGAATCTCTTGAGGATGAGGTAGAGTTCTTAAAATCTGGTTTACATATTAATTAAATAGCACCATGGAACTAATATATTCATTTGGAAATAACTATGCCCAAAGCGGAAAGGTGAGGAAGTAGAGAAGCCTAAGGGGAAAATTAAGTATCCATTAATAAAAGAAAAAAAAAAATCCCAATGATCTGAAGTCCTACTATAAACACTGCTTTTCTTCCGTATGCTTCAGACAGGTTCTGAAGACAGGGTGTCTAGGTTTGACGTGCTTAAATATTTTGAATCACAGGTAGCCAGTGTGAAGACAAGTAATTACTGAAATATTTTTAAGAATAGGGTAATGTGAATAGCATTTAACTATATATTTCACACACTAAAAGGTTATACCAACAACCAAGTGAAGAAAGTTGCTTAAATACTTTAGATGCCAGTAAAGGAAGCAACGATTACAACAGAGTAGCTTTGGAACTTTATTTCCTTTTAGGATAGACCATAATTTTTCCTTTTGAATATTTAGCATAGAGGTCAAAACTCCGCAGTGACATCAGCTGCCAGATTTACTTTTTACTACCATTCCATACCTCTCCTGGATTTCTGAGTTATATGTCCTATCGTTTATGGTCCTACATTTTATTCCTCAATTGGAAGTGAGAAACTAAATGTGGTGGCTAGAAAACAACCAGCCGTTACACTGGATTTTACTGCCGCATTTCTGAAGGATACAATCTTTAATAATAAATGCTCAGCAGAAGGCAATACATTGGCAGTAAGAACAAAATCTGCATGTGCTCCCGATATATTTTCTTGACCTTACTGATGTTCAATCATTCTAAAAGTCAGACTCAGTCCTCTTCTGGCTTCTGGATGTTTGCAGGTAGGAGAAAAATGTCATAATATCATGAAGCAGCAAAATCTTCCTTCTAACCCCTCAGTTCAAACAGATTTGTTTCTTGGTCAGTCTCAGGCTTCCTAACTTCAATGCCTCTCTTCTTCCACTCCGGTTTAGAAGTGACGTGGTAGGGAGTCAGGGAATGACTCTCCACTCTGTAAAGAAGACGGAGCACTTGCTCCGTCTCACACAATTCGTGGGAAATGAGCACCATGTGGCCTCTAGGGAGGAAGGAACTGCAGTTCTCTCCCACCAGCTGTGTGTTCCCTCTGTGAATTTCTGCAAACCTGGCTGCTCACTTTAGATTGGACATAGTTGCCTCAGTTGGCAGCCAGAGTGGCAAACAGGCTTCCCCTATTTCCAAGTCCAACTGCCTAATAGGAGCTGCCTGGAACTTTTTGTGAAGAAGAGTGCTGAGGGAGGACTGGTAACACATGTATGACATCCTTGATTTCCATGACTTAGGTGTTACCTACAAGAACAGTCTCGGATGATAACTCCATGACTAACAACACAATGGAAAATTATTAGCTCATTTGCTAATCCAAACATTTTAAAAATAAGTAATGGAAACTATTTTACCAAAGTCAAATTTTTGAATGCACACAGCTGTTCACAAATTGTAATAAAACACTGGAAAAGACATGTAATGGCTAACATGCTTTACATGGAAGTTAACTCTTATAAAATGGACTTTTATAAATCTATACTTACAGGATCCCCTCCAGAGGCAAATGAAATAGACTGCATATGATGATTTGCAATAATCTGTAAAACATAAACAAATTAAACATGTATGATGCTACAAATTAAATGCCTAGTTACATACAATCTAACAGTAATGGTCGTACATTTGTATGTTTTGTCTTTGCCTGCTCAGCATCCCTTTGGAAATTACTCCATCCACATTCTATAATAATCTCATAAGGTTCAAGTAGGTCTGACAAGCCCGTCTCACCAGCCCCCTCCTTATGGCTGGACACAGGATCCAGGCCTAGCCCATCAGAAAACACCATCCCTCTGGATACAGCAAAGCCAATCAATATCATGGGGGAGGAACTGAGACAGATAATAGGAAAGAATGCATCTTTCTCTGCCATTAAGGACCTTAGTTTAAGTCCAAAGCTTCTGGGATTCATCTTTTGCTGCCATGTGGGAAAAGCCTGATGGAAAAACAAGTTTTCCCTCTGGAGAGTATCAGAGCTGAGAGTTAAA